GATAGATACGAAGAGGTTTGTAATCATTATGCAAATTAGATCCCCACTCTCAATACCTGCAGTGTTATTTATTTTCAATAATGTTTTTGTTCTGTTGTTTTCAGTAAGATTTTTTTTACTTGCGTGTATAAATGATAATGATGATAATAAAAATGCCAGTAACAACAAAATAAGGATAATATGATAATATTGATAATGGAAATAATAATAATGATAATTATGATAATGATTAGAGCAATAATGATAATGAGAATAATGATAAGGGTTATAATGATAACAATAATGATATTGATGATAATAATGATAATGGTGATAATGACGACAATAATGATAATAATAGTAATGATAGTAATACTACTGATAATAATGATAATAATAATAATAATTATAATAATAATGATAACAATAATATATAATAGCAATGATAATAATAATAATAATAATGATAATAATAATAATAATAATAATAATAATAATAATAATAATAATAATATTAATAATAATAATAATAATAATAATGGTATTGTTGCTCTTATCACTTTAATTCTTCGAAAAAAAAATATGTTATATATTGTATTGTTTTCCTAGCTACGTAGATTTTAAAGTAGACATAAGAACTGTGGTTTGTTTCATATATTTTCGTTTGAGTTTTACCTTTATTCACATTCTCGTTATTAATATAATCAATTATCACTGTCATGACAATATATAAATAGATGCAATTAATAAAATTGCGTGTGTATTTCATATGTATAAGGAAAGCAAGATTTTTTTTTTATATAGAAATGAAAATTACAATCATTGCATCATAGCATACATATAGAAATAAAAAAAATAATCACCAGATAGAAAGACGTATATAATTAAACAAAAAAGGGAAGAAAATGAGATTAAAAAACACTCTTGATCATAAACCAAATCATAATCTTGAAACCAAAACACAAACACGTCATGACAGGAACAGCAAGGGAGTGTGGGCCATGCACTCACGCCGGTATCAAGCCCAAGTCATGCATTTTAGATCATGCACGCCTTCTGGGTCAGCCAAGCCACGGTGGAAGTCACGCCAAAGTGGAAACGGTGGTCATGCAGAATCACACCTGGGCTATTTACCGACTATTTTTATTTTTTCTTTTTTGGGGGGGGGGGGGGAGCCATGATCGGGGGCAGAGAAAATGGGAAAAAAAAAATCTGTGTTACTAAAGAAAAACGTAAGGCGTATGGTGTTGCTTAGCTGGTGTAGAAAATTCGTAGGCTCGTCATGAGGCTTTATGCATGATTCGCTCACACACAACCTATCGCAAGGCTCGGGCAGGTCAGAGAGAGAGAGAGGGGGGGGGGGGACTTAGAAAGAAAGAAAAGGGGCTCAAACAGAGAAAAGGAGACTTGGGAAAGAAAGAGAGAGAGAGAGAGAGAGAGAGAGAGAGAGAGAGAGAGAGAGAGAGAGAGAGAGAGAGAGAGAGAGAGAGAGAGAGAGAAAGAGAGAGAGAGTGGAGGGGGAATTAGAAAGATAGAAAAGGGGGTCAAACAAAGAAAAAGAGACTTGGGAGAGAAAGATAGAGATAGAGAGAGAGAGAGACGGGGGTAGGAGAGACAGAAAGTGAGTGAAGGTGGGGGAGGGAGAGATAGAAACCGAGAGAGAAAGAAAGAAGGAGTTAAAGTTATTAATTCGTATAAAATAAATCATTGTTCTGTCTCATAGGTATACCTTTTTTTTCGTCATGAGTAAATACCTCACTTTTCTCATTTTCATAAGCGTACAAACCATACCCTGAGGGGATAAGGGGTTAATCTCTACCGTACGTTTTTATTATTATTATTATTATAGAAATGACGATCCGGATATGAATAAAAATTGAGAATTATTTATTCGTATCATGCTTTCGAAGTGAAGACTGGGTGTGAGGCAGATGAGATTTTTTTCCCAATTTCCAATACACAGACACAAACACATATATTTAGAATCAATTTAGAATTAATTATATTCGCATGATAAAATCCCCATGAACATAAAAAAGCACATCCTTCAAGTCAACAAAATGTGTCCCAAAATGGCTACTTTCATACCTTTCGGAGATCGTGTGGCATAGGTCATTATTTTTATTTTTTTTCTTTATAGAGTATTTTTTGTACACTTACAAATAAATTAAAAATAAATGACTTCTGATATAGCCAGTCAGGGAATTAATGATCCAAGAAATAAAATACTATGTCATATATAGTTTTATTATCGACGCATAACTGTATTTCTAGTTTAGGGGATACGTGTTTAAAAATATATATTACACGTGGTCATGTAAAAATATATATATATTACGTGGTCATGTAAAAGATATATATATTACGTGGTCATGTAAAAGATATATATATTACGTGGTCACGTAAAAGATGTATCTCATATATTATTAGTAACAATTTGAATAAAAAGATATATATATTATCTACGTATCCCCTCTTAAAAGCGGGGGCTATGTGATTATATTTCCAAATACGATTCTTGGCGCGATATTTTAATGATGATAATAATAAAATATAATAAAATAAGAATAAATCACAATTTAACAACTTTACAGCATCTCTCATCTCGTGATTCGTAGCCTTAGAGGGAAAGTAGGCCTATAAGTGGTTACTGGTACGTACAAAGGACCTTTTTCTGGATTTGTAATAGACCTAGGCGTTAAGTAAGTACTATGGTTAGTTCTGGGGGTTTTGGTAGGTAGGCATGGCGTGCGAGGTTTGTAAGTACGTGTAAGTGTGTAAGTAGGGCGAGGAGGGCGCTTACCCTGTCCCTCTTGGCTGATCTGGCTTGTAGGTTTGTAAGTAGTTTCGGGTTTGTAAGTAGATATAGTTTTGTAGGATGAAATGGGCCTGTAAGTAATTGCAGGCGTGTAAGTAGGTACGGGATTGTGGGAAAGAGTAGGTTTGTAAGTAGTTGTAGACTTGTAGGATGGAGTAGACTTGTAAGTAGGTACAGTCTCGTTGGATCGATTGTAAGTAGGTGCACGCTTGTAGGATGAAGCAGGCTCGTAAGTAGACTTGTAAGTACCAGCAGGCTTGTAAGTAGTTGCAGTCTTGTAAGTCTCAGGCCTGTAAGTAGTTGCGGTCTTGTAAGTCTCAGGCTTGTAAGTAGTTGCAGTCTTGTAAGTTTCAGGCCTGTAAGCAGTTGCAGTCTTGTAAGTTTCAGGCCTGTAAGTAGTCGCAGGCTTGTTGAACAGAACAGACTTGTAAGTAGTCGCTGGCCTGTAAGTAGCTGCCAGCTTATAAGTAGACACAGCCCTGTAAGTAGTCTTAGGCTCGTAAGTAGACACTGACTCGCCAGAAAACCGAGCCTGTCCCTCGTAGGTGACCTCAGCCACGTAGCCTGAGTCGCCGTCCACGTGGTAGGTGACCTTCTGCAGGCGACCGTCGGGAAGCTGCACGTAGTAGGATCCCTGTGTGTTGTATCCGTCGCGGGACTCCTGGTGGCCGTAGTCGTTGCCTGAGTAGTCGTCCTTGATGGCGTAGTCGTAGTGGTGAGGAGGTCGTTCCGGTCGTTTCTGCGATGGGCGTAAAATGGAGTAGTTGCTATAGTAACAATGGAAATCATATTGACAATAATAATAATAATGACAATAATGGTAATAATAGTAATAGTAATAATAGTAATAGTAATAATAGTAATAGTAATAATAGCAATAGTAATAATAGTAATAGTAATAACAGTAATAATGATAATAGTAATAGTAACAATATCAATATCAATAGACATAATAGTAATAACAGTAATAATAACAATAGTAATAGCAATCGTAACAATACTTATATAAATATAGTTGACAGGAATATCATATCTGATACTGGTTCAGATAAAAATAATTAAATAGATGATAATAACCTTGATTATGTTATCGTGAAATACATATAGTTAATTAGTAGAAATATTAATTATAATAATGGCAATCAAATAATGAAAGTCAGAGCAACGTTGGCTAATAATAACACTAATTATGTGATCATGGCATGTAATTAACATCTATATCTCTATAATCTCTAATAACTATGGCAATGTTAACAATAATGGTATTAGCGAAGATAATTATAATAAAGATATCTGCCATAGTGAAAATGACAATAAAGATAAAAATGATGATGATTATACAGAATATTGATAATAATGACGATAATATGATAACGATATCAATAATGTTGACACTTATGATCATAAAAAAGATAAAAGAAATAAATAAAATAAAGAAACAATAATAATGATAATAATGATGCTGATAAATATAATCATAGTGATAATAATGATATAATAATAATAGTGATGATTATGATAATGATAATGATAATGAGGATAGTATTGATGATGATGATGATGATAATAATAATAATAATAATAATAATAATAATAATAATAATAATAATAATAAAATAATCATAATAATTATCATTATCATTATGATAACAATAATAATAATAATAATAACACTACTACTAACAATGATTATAATAATGATAATAATATTATGATAATGATAATAATGATCATAGAAAATATAAGAATAACAATGATAATGATGATATTAGTAATGATGATAATGATAATAACAATAATATTAATAATAATAATAATAATAATAATAATAATAATAATAATAATAATAATAATGATAATAATGAAAAAAAAAACAAAGATAACACTAATAATAATAATAGTGATTATAATCATAATCATAATCATAATGATGATGATGAAGATGATGATGATGATAACAATTATAATAATAGTAATAATGATAAAGATAATAACAAAGATAATTATTACTATTATCATTATTATTATTGTTATTATTATTATTATCATTGTTATTATAGTAATGGTAAAAAGGAAAATTATAATAATGATAATGATAATTATAGTGATAATAATATTATGATATTGTAATACTAGCAACAATAATAATGATAATAGCAGTAATAATAATGATAATGATGATGACGACGATTGATGATGATGATAACAATAACAATAATTATTATAATAATGATAATAATAATAATAATAATAATAATAATAATAATAATAATAATAATAATAATAATAATAATAGTGATTATGATAATAATGATAGTGAGGGGGAAGGGAAGGATAACATCAATAATGATGCTAAAGATAACGATAATAATAAGAAAAAGAATGATAATTAACATACCAACCGTGATTCTAATAATACCAATCCAAAGACAACATTATAAAAGAAAATAAACAAATAAATAAGAAAACAATTAAATACAGAAAACAAAACAGGTCTTCATTACGAAAACTCCCTCACCTTAACACCAGTTTCGACTCCCGACTCTGTTCTTGACGAAGCTTCACTCTCCTGGCCAAGCTTCGTGGCTTCCTGTGCAGTTTTATCCTTACGTGGAAGCTCGGATTGGCTAGAAAAAGGCTTCTTCTCGCTTGTCGAATTGGCTTCCAGATTTTCAGGTTTGAAAATATCTCGGCGTTTATGCTTCAGCCGGTGATTCGGTCGAGACAAGATGGCGGGTGGGTACTTCTTCGTTATTTTGTGTTTATAGGCTGGGTTTTCGCTGTATTTAGGCTTAGGTTTGTGGATCAGATGGTATAGAAACTTCGATTTGTTCTTTAGGGCCGATTGGCTTTTGTTTTTGAGTTTTTTGTGTTTAAGTTTGGCTTTACGAACGGCTAGGGACGTAGAAATTATGGGTTGATCTGCCACTGCGCTTGAAATAACAGATCTGGGACTGGATTTCCGTTTATAAACAGACTGAACGGGATCGTGAGCAGTTCGGTATCCGGAAATTATCCCAGGCTTATATCCGGGCTTTAAAGCGTAGCTGAAATAGGGTTTGTGCGTGACGTGAACCTCGTTGGATATTGAATTTGTGGAGAGGGCAGGCAGGTAAGTCAACAACCGAGGAATTTTGGCTTCAGAGGATACGAACGACGCGGTCAGCAAGAGCACCCAGACTTGGACCTGTAAGGGGGGGGAGATTTTAAATCGAATTAGTGAGTGTTTGATTCAGTTAGAAGGAAATAAAGTAAGGGAAAAAATAAAGTACTAAAGATAGACGTTTATTGAGAGAAGGGTTCTATACCCTACACACACACACACACACACACACACACACACACACACACACACACACACACACACACACACACACACACACACACACACACACACACACAAGATTTTTCTTCAGGGTTGACTCCCGAAGTCTTTTTCATCTTACAGATACCACGAGACACTGAATTTGGCATTATTGACTCTGTTCTGCCTAGGCTCAAAACTATAAGGACGGCCCCTCGTGCTACGCTTTTACGCCAAATGAGGACTGTAGTTTATAACAGGTAAGTGCCACTCTCCGTGCTATGTCGACGCTGTGCAGTGCCGCTGGAGTGTCTTCTCCTATGGTGTGAGACAGCCCACCCACAGAAGGTAAGCACAGTGGAAACAAATTCGTTGAAAAAAGTGCCAAAAAAATTTAAACAAGATCACGAAACGAAACCGATCCAGAAATGACGTCTATTTAACAGAACTCTTCAATAGACCCTTAAAATATAGTACATTAAAAAAAGAGATAAGAAAAAAAAAATACGGCTTACAACCAAAATCACACAGACCTCACCTTCATATCGACCGAATTAATGAGTGAAAAATGTGCCTCACAACACCCTCCGCTGCCCTTTTATACCCAAGTCTCATTGAAAGGGATTGGAATGTGGGCGTGGCGGTGACAGACCGATGGGCGGCGCCGTTTGGGTATCGGGGGCGGTTCTTTGATGATGATGATGAGGAAATAAGGTGATCTAACGACTGAATTGGTCATCAAGTGTTTTTTAAATGTATCGTTAGGAAGAAAACGTGTATTTTAGGATTCAGTTGTTTCTAATGATATATATATTAGATTTGATTATTAAAAACTGAAGAAAATTAGTTTAGCACATAAATTAGATAATAAATTAGATTTATTAAATGTGATTAATCATAGGGAATGGATTTATTATAAGGAAATGGGGGATTTGATAACTGACATGTTCATCGAAAATCTCATAAATTTATCACGAGGAAGATGAAACATGTATCCTATTAATAAATCTTGAATATGATTTCAAATTAGATTTACAGAAAAAAATACGTTAGGTTGAATAAAAATAATAAAGTAATCAGGCCTATGTACACAGACACGCGCTTACAAATGCACACACAGACCCAAGATGCAAACCTCACCAACTATTGCCTTGGGGAAGGATCATAAGCCAGTCTCCCCTGTATAAAGACCCAGTGGTGATGTTACGAATATGAATAAATATATTGTCTTGGGCAGGACGTCCAACTTGCACACAAGGGTTCCCGTGATTATGAGCTCCCCGGGACAGGATTACGGTGAAACTGCTGGCATCAGGGCAGGGATTTCCGTAGAAGGTACTTTTAGTAGTTCACGGTAGATGCAAAATTGTCTGGCGGAAGTTTAGTCCTACTGAACAAA